TAGGGAAATAGTCTGATTTAAAAAAAAAGTATATCCAATGAAAGATGTATATAAATAATACTTCTCATGAAAAAATTGTATTGATCCATACGTTTTTTAAAAAGTTATAGCACTTTTAAGTAAAAAATGTCAATTATAAAATCAAAAATTTTCACACAAAAATAGCATTCGGTAGCCGTTTTCACCATGAAGACAAGTCCAGAGGTCAAATTTTTTTTTTTCAAATTAAAGTATATTACATTAGCTTTAATTTAAGATATATATAAAAGTGTCAGACCTTCCGGAACACTTTCAAAAGTTAAGTTGAAAAAGTTCTACTTTCTATATGCATTTTTTATATTTGAAGCCCCCCCATATATAGGGAAATAGTCTGATTTAAAAAAAAAGTATATCCAATGAAAGATGTATATAAATACTACTTCTCATGAAAAAATTGTATTGATCCATACATTTTTTAAAAAGTTATAGCACTTTAAAGTAAAAAATGTAAATTATAAAATCGAAAATTTTCACACAAAAATAGCATTCGGTAGCCGTTTTCACCATGAAGACAAGTCCAGAGGTCAAATTTTTTTTTTTCAAATTAAAGTATATTACATTAGCTTTAATTTAAGATATATATAAAAGTGTCAGACCTTCCGGAACACTTTCAAAAGTTAAGTTGAAAAAGTTCTACTTTCTATATGCATTTTTTATATTTGAAGCCCCCCCATATATAGGGAAATAGTCTGATTTAAAAAAAAAGTATATCCAATGAAAGATGTATATAAATACTACTTCTCATGAAAAAATTGTATTGATCCATACATTTTTTAAAAAGTTATAGCACTTTAAAGTAAAAAATGTAAATTATAAAATCGAAAATTTTCACACAAAAATAGCATTCGGTAGCCGTTTTCACCATGAAGACAAGTCCAGAGGTCAAATTTTTTTTTTTCAAATTAAAGTACATTACATTAGCTTTAATTTAAGATATATATAAAAGTGTCAGACCTTCCGGAACATTTTCAAAAGTTATGTTGAAAAAGTAAATTTATTGTGAAAAAGTTGTCATTTTAAATCCCCCCTTGTGGGCAGAAAAAAGGTCAAATTTATAAAAAAAATATACCAAATAATAGGTAAAGACATTAAGCATCTATATAAAAAAAAAATTATATAGATATGTTCATTTTTGAAAAAGTTACGGCAGTTTTTAGTAAAAAAAATTGAAAAAATTTCGAAAATTAGCGATTTTTAAATTTGTAATTTTTTTGGAGGTTTCCCC